GAGACCAAAACTCCAACGGAGACCAAGATTTGACAAAGACAAAAGCAGGCTACAGGTCGACAAAACAAACCAAAAGCAACGATAAACGTTTATATGAAAATATTCTATATATATAATTATTTTATTTATTAGCACTAGTCCTTTACTATTAATAATATTAATTAATTAATTTTTTTACGAAGACAGTATCGACAACAAATCAGATTTTTAAAAGGTTCAACATGAAAGACTAGAAAAATGTTCAAAACCCAAAAATGGGTGGAGCAATTAGTCAAAACTCCGACATCCTTGAATTCCTCTCTCTTCTTCTACAAATACCCACTTCATTCTCTTCTTTAATTATCAAATTAACTCGAAACTAATTGGGCTGATATCTTATTCTTAAGGTGCTTATAATTAAAGAGCCTGCCAGCTAGATATCGAGAGAGAGAGAGATTGTTTGCCATATACATGGGGTTTTTCATTCTATCCCTAGCTTTTTTCAGCTTAGCCATGGTGATTTTTCTTCTCTTTTTGTTCTCGAGATTGTTATTCTCTTGCTGGGTTCGCCCCATTCGAGCTTACCGCAAGCTTAATAAGAATGGGTTTGAAGGTCCAACTCCTAGTTTTCCTCTGGGAAATATTGGAGAGATGAAAAATGGTAAGAATATTAATGATTCTTCACTTGGATCCTCTGTTGTTTCCCATGACATACACGCCACTGTGTTTCCGTACTTTGCTCGGTGGCAAGAGATTCATGGTAAGTCTTTGGTTCTTTCATTTAATCAAAAGATTCAAAACCCTCTCACAAACAAAACGAAAACCCTTAATTTTGTTACTGTTTTTCTTTTTCTTTTGGTTGACTTTAAGTTACGTGGGGATAAATTAACGTTTTTTGTGTTTGTCTTGTAGGAAAAGTGTTCATATACTGGCTGGGGACGGAACCATTTTTATATATTGCTGACCCAGAGTTCCTTAAAAACATGTCGTCAGGAGTCCTGGGAAAGAGCTGGGGAAAACCCATTGTGTTTAAACAGGATAGAGAACCTATGTTCGGAAGAGGTTTGGTCATGGTTGAAGGAGATGATTGGGTTCGTCATCGCCATGTTATTACTCCTGCATTCTCTCCAGCCAACTTGAAGGTCACTCTTAATTTCTTTCCTTTCCCACACTCACAATTAAAAGGAAAAACTACTCTAAGACTCCATAATATACACATTCGGTGGTGGAAATTTTACGATAATTTTGTTCATAAAAATGCATTTTCCCCGAGTGACAGCGTCTCTTTAGTGGAAAAGGTCTAAAATTGTATACTGGGAAAGCTCCGTTCGGTTTGAAAAAATATTTTTTATTTTTTGTTTTTTAAAAAATGTATTTAGTAAACGAAAATAAAATTTTTTTTAAATGTAAAAATAAGAAAATAAATTAAATATTCAATAATATTACTATTAATGTCATTTAATTATAAATATAATATATATTTATTAATTAGTGACATTAAAAAGTTTTTAAATATAGTAACTTACAAAACGTAAAGAAAATAAAATGTATATCTCTTGTTTTCACAATTAAAAATATTTTTTTTTGTTTTCATATTTTACCTCATTTTCATTTTTATTTTTTAAAAATTTATTTTTATTTTCAATTATCAAAAAAGTTTTCACTCATATTTTTTTATTTTTTTAAAAAATAAAAATAAAAAATAACTATATTTTCTGAAACTAAACACCATCTTAATCACAATGCACTATATTCGTAAAAGAATATTAAAATTTTAATTTTAATGATAAAAAACTAAATATTAATAATCTCAAATATATACAATAAAAAAACTTAGTTATAATTCATTTACATTATGAACACGGTGTAAGCCTTTACAAAATGATCATAAAACAATTAATATAGTCACTTTAAATACATCTTTACAAATTGAATGTACACTTATAATTATGTCTTAAAACTTTATTATTTTTTTTTCTTTTTCCTTCTTCGGATAAATGAATAAGCCAATTGATAACAACTTAGATTTGAGAGAGTGATTGTTACCGGTAAATTTAAATCCTTGCCTTTTTCTTTAGAGAATGTACCATAAGAAAAGAAAGATAACATCAAGTTAATGGGTAACCCATGTCCAAAATTGACTCTAATTTTCCTCACATCGAAGTAATATATGGTACTAATTAAAAATGGTAAGATGCTGATGAATTATATTTTCTAATTTTAATAATGTAGGCTATGGCGAGCTTGATGGTGGAACCGACCATAAAGATGCTAGACAAGTGGGCTACCCTAATAAATTCTGGTAAACCTGAAATCGATGTTGAAAGAGAAATCACGACGACGGCGGGGGAGATCATTGCGAGGACAAGCTTCGGGTTGAGCTACCAAAACGGGAGTAAAGTGTTTGAAAAATTGAGAGCCATGCAAATCACACTTTTCAACTCCAACCGCTATGTTGGTGTTCCTTTTAGCAAATGGATGTGCCCTAAGAAAAACCTAGAAGCCAAGAAACTTGGCAAAGAAATAGACCACCTCCTTTTATCCATCATAGATACTCGTAAGAAAACTTGGGATGGATCCACTCAGAAGGACTTGCTGGGTTTATTGATGGAAGGCAACCACGTCGAAGGATGGGTGGGGAAGAGCATAACGGCAAGGGAGCTTGTTGATGAGTGCAAGACCTTTTTCTTTGGTGGCCATGAAACCACCGCATTGGCAATCACATGGACATTGCTGCTTTTGGCCATGCATCCGCCCTGGCAAAACCAATTGAGGGAGGAAATTAGAGAAGTGATTGGAGATGAAGATCAGATCGATTTCTCTAGGCTTGCTAGCTTAAAGAAGGTACGATCAGTTTTGATTTGTATTATTCTTTTCTCTTTTCCTTGATTATTAGAAAAATTTTAATATCCAAATCTATTTCTAGATTAGTCGTACGTAGTCTGAGAATTTTCCTATATCCTGAAACACAAAATCTTGATCCCACCGTGTTGAGTGGAAAGTTCAACAACATGTTCCATGACAAAGGTCAAAGTTGAACCAAGGCGCCATGTGACGATGCAGATGACGTGCCATCAGCATCATAAGTAGAAACAAACTCCTTTTGATATTTTGACAACTCGCCATTACTTTGGACTTTAACCCCAAAAAAAAAAAAAACCAAAACAGGAAGTTCAACTGACGGTGCTAGTGACACTTCAAAAACCTGATACTAGTTTTAGTTTGGTTAATTAATTGGGGCCCCGGGTCCCAACGGGCCAAACTTGGAGTCATCTCGAGTCCTACCCATTTCTTTGATTTAATTTCTATTACGTGGACAAATGTAGATATAATTGTGTGGCTATGATTTGCAGATGGGATGGGTGATGAACGAGGTACTAAGGCTATACTCGCCAGCACCAAATGCACAGAGACAAGCAAGAGAAGATATAAAGGTGGGTGATCTTATTATCCCTAATGGAACCAACATGTGGATCGACGTTGTGGCCATGCACCATGATCCAGCGATATGGGGCGATAACGTTAACGAGTTCCGACCAGAGAGGTTTAAGGATGATCATCTATATGGCGGGTGCAAGCACAAGATGGGGTTCTTGCCTTTCGGGTTTGGAGGGAGGATGTGTGTTGGGAGGAATTTGACAATGATGGAATACAAAGTTGTCTTAACCCTTATGCTTACTAGGTTTTCCTTTTCCCTCTCTCCAAATTATCGCCATTCACCTTCTATTTTGCTTTCCTTAAGGCCTAGATATGGACTGCCTCTCATAGTTCAACCCCTTTAGGCTTCCCCTCTCCACCCCACCCCCCCCCCCCCCCTCCTTTTTTTTCCATTGGTATACTGGAATTGGATTTGGAAAAGGGTGAAGTACTAGAATCTTAAACCATAGTTATTAAAAGGATATCCAATTCTAGACCAAACATATGTATCCTCTTCTTTTCTATTTGTTTCTTTTGCTTACGTGTGTGTATTGTTTGCGCCATGTATATAGCAAGGCTTTCAAACGTTCTTTTATGGTGAATGGAAATTAATAAAAGTAAATTTCATTTTCTCTGGATTCATCTTCTGTTCTGTCTATTCCAACATGCATATAGCTCAATTATATAGGGGATTTGGGGTATTTGATACTTTCGTATGCCTTCTTCCATCATTATCGGTTATATCACCTAACCTAATAATTTTCTTTTTCTTTTATAATTTTTAAAAATTAAAAATTTTCTAGGAAAAGGAGTTTCTAATGATTATTAAGACTATAATAGCAACTCCTTTGAGAAAGCCAATTAATATATATATATATATGAGGTTATAATTACTTGTCGCAAACATCATTTCTCGTGGTACATAACCACTAGGATTATTAGATATAGCATGATTATATTTTTCGTATTTTTATGTAAAGCATATACTATCTATTACTAAATACATTTTTTCTTATTCTTAAAGCTAGTGAAGTTTGAATTTTTATGACTTAAATTAAAAGTTTAATATTTTATTAAATATATATATTTTTGGATAATTAAAGATCTTATATACCCAAGTAACCATTTAATTTTCATAAAAATATCAATAAACATATAATTGATCATAAATTATTTATAAAATAGGCTAATGCTTTTATTTTTTTAATTTTTTATATTTAAAAATTTTAAAATTAAACTTTAATCGTTAAAATTAAAAATTCAATCCAAGTCAGCGAAAATTTTAAAGTGATAATATGTTATTGACATTTCGGCTTTCAGTCCAAAGTTTTGCAGATCCATAAGGCCCTGGGCCCAGCCCAGAGAGCACCTCTTCCAGGGTTCAATTGCAAAACTTCACAATTAACGGTTTACAGTTAAATTTTAGTAAAAAAAAAAAAGTAACGTACGTACAAAATACAAAAAAGATCAAAATACTGGGGCCTTTTTGTAAATTGACTAAAAATCTTGTTTCCTTCGCCTCCCACGAGAAAAAGCGACCTTATTAATCATCAGAGAGCAAAAAAGCCTCTCAAACTGTACAAAGTCCAAGGTTAGTGCTCTCCAAAATATCTCCTCCACTTTTTTACCTATTTTTAATCCTAATTTATTTACTTCCACTTCTCCTTTTGCTTCAGATCTTTACTCATCGCCTGTATGTAGATCAAATTTTAGCTGTACACTTTTTCGTTAGAATATGTTTATGAATTTATTTTCTTTATTATTTTTTAATTTATAAGCCCTATATTGTTAGTAGTTTTCTGGAGTTATTCCCTGCGTGATCTTAACTTTCTGATTTTTTTGCTGCGATTTTGATTTATGTGAAATTAAAATTTTGAGGTAATTTTATGTACATTGACGAAAAAGAGACATGAGATGTAAGTTTACCCTTTTTTTTTGGTTTTCTTTCTGAACGGAAATGAAAATCTTAGTTCAATGTCACTGGTTAAGCAGTTGGGTTCGGCGTAATGGACTTGGGGCTTTATAGAATTAGAAACATGTTGAATTAAGATAGGTATTTAGTTAATTTTATTTTCTTTTGGATTTTAGGTTGTTTTTGGCAGAATATTTTCCTTCGTGTTTCTGTTTGATTGTTGAGATTTTATATGTTAAATCAGAGGAAAGAATGTTGCCAAAAAGGGTTAAATAGACGATGTGGATATTACGATTATGCAGACTAAATAAATGGATAGCTCATCTTTCCATTTTGGAAGAAATCCAAATCTGGAGTCCTTTGTCTTGCTCACTTTTGTTCAAATCTTTTTTATTTATTTAAATTAAGAGTCCCCATTAGAGAATTTGATCTTGAAAGTGTAACTCTGCAGTGAAATTGAAATGCTTTCATTTTTTCTTTCATTTGTTAGTTTCAGGAAAACATGATATATTTTTTCTAGGGGTGCTTCACCTTTCCTTGATCTAGCTACTTTTGGTTTCTCCTTTATTATTATGTGATTTAATATTTCTTGTTTGGCATAATTGTTTTGCAGGTTGCATGGATTTCTCTGCTTAAAGTGTTCAACTGTTTGTTAGAGGAATAGTGCAACTTTGGTTTCAAGCTTTATCTTGTGTTGTATTTGATTTATGTGTGTAAAATACATACTTCAGATATTTGATCCAAAAGAGCAGTGTGCTTAGTTATGGAATCTTTGTGGAGGCTTTTATATTTACTTGAGCCTGCCCCTGTTACCCTGATAGTTACAGCAGTGGCTGTGACATTTGGATCTGCATTTCGTGCTCTGAATTATGGGAAAGAAATGGAGCGGAACCGTGACTTGTCAGAAGCAGCAATTACTTTAGATAGGTCCCAAGCACTAATGATCCCAGTAATGAGCTCCTGCAGCTTGCTTTTGATGTTTTACCTTTTTTCTTCTGTCTCACAACTCCTGACTGCGTTAACAGCTATCGCTTCTGTTTCATCCCTTTTCTTCTGTCTATCCCCATATGTTGCCAATTTGAAATCTCAGTTTGGTTTGGCTGACCCATTTGTGTCTCGGTGCTGTTCAAAGTCTTTTACCAGAATACAAGGGTTGTTATTGTTGGCGTGCACCCTTACAGTTGCAGCTTGGCTTGTTTCAGGGCATTGGATATTGAACAACTTGTTAGGTATCTCCATCTGTATTGCATTTGTCAGTCATGTGCGCCTTCCAAACATCAAAATATGTGCGATGCTTCTTGTATGTTTGTTTGTGTATGACATATTCTGGGTTTTCTACTCTGAAAGATTTTTCGGGGCTAATGTCATGGTATCGGTGGCAACACAACAAGCATCAAACCCTGTTCACACAGTTGCTAATAGTTTGAGTCTTCCTGGCTTACAATTGATAACAAAGAAGCTAGAGTTGCCTGTAAAGATTGTTTTTCCAAGGAATTTATTGGTTGGGGCATCCCGTGGTGGGAGTACAGCAGACTTCATGATGCTTGGTCTTGGTGACATGGTATGAAAGCCCTTCTCTTCACTATGAATGAAGTAGTTTTTGTCAGCTTTTGAAGGTGTCTTATTTGATGAAATTAGCAGTCATCAATGCATCTCATATGATTTTGAGCTCAAATTTTCTTCAACAGAGTTTTAGAATAATTCAGATCTCTGTCTGCTATGCTGCTTGGGCAGTAATTACTTGTGCAACCTTACTGGATGGCATACTACTGTTTTTCTTTTTCATTTGAAAGATTTCCTTCACTGAGAAATTTTATTTAGAGTTGAATGTATGAAGTTCATTCTTCTCTTTTCACATGCTCATACTATAAATCATGCAGCGCTCTTGAATGTTTGCATGTAGTGTCATGCTTTGTTACTGGATCAATATTTCTTAGTATCTATGAAGGTGCAGATCCTTAAATCTTCATTTCAGCTTCAAGCTTGAAAATTCTATTCTCATTGCCCTTGTTCCTGGTATGAGTGCTATTAGATGAACAAAAGAACATGTCCTCTCAAACAATTTTGGTGTGCAGATGACACTTGAACAAGGAATATCAGTGTTCTGTACTTGTGGACCAACCATATGTTATTTGCAATTCCTGCATTTGTAGAGACAAGCACTCCAACTTATGCGGGTGACTTATTGAGATTAACATTGTGGCATTGTTTACCAGTTCTAGATTACTTTGCTGGTTAGTGTCATCTTTTTTCTTATCATTAGAGGCTCTGATTAAATTTTTTATGTTCATGTAGGCCATTCCTGCCATGCTTCTAGCATTAGTCCTGTGTTTTGATAATCGAAAGAGTAGGGAAACAGTAAATCTTTTAGATTTACATTCCTCGAAGGGGCACAAATATATATGGTATGCCCTTCCTGGGTATGCTATTGGATTAGTGACTGCGCTTGCAGCTGGCATTTTGACTCACTCACCTCAACCTGCTCTTCTTTATCTGGTATTTTGTTATCACAGTTTTATTCAAGTTTACTGGTTCTCTTGATATTTTGCATTAGTTTTTGCAAATATGATGTAGTCATTCTGATCATTTGTATTCTCCTTATTTAATTGGTCAAAATTCTATGATGTTTTCAGCTGTTAATTAATTTTATAGGTTTTTTGGATTTATCGAACATCTGTCACACCTAAATAACCTTATAACTTATATCCTCAAATCTTTTACATGCAGGTACCTTCAACGCTGGGACCTGTAATAATCATCTCCTGGTTAAGGAAGGAGCTAGTTGAATTATGGGAAGGAACCATGCCAAATCTCAATGACAAGGCTAGACAAATAGAAGTCTGAACCCTTTCTTTATGTGGGATGATGCCAGACCACGTTAGGGCATGCTGAGCCTTTTGTTTGTATATTCCTATGGATGTTTTGTTATTGGAAGGTGGAGTAATTTATCAACAACAATTCAGTGTTTTACTTTGTGGAATCTAACTTTGCCTGTGAAATATTTCCCTAACGGGAGGCAGAAAAAGCAAATTTGGCGAGCCAAGTGTCTCAACAAGTAGCAGATTTCAACACTAATGACTTTCTCTAAAATGCTTTCTGGTCTTCCATTTTCGCTTTAACAAGTATAGCAAATATTATTTATGTATTATTTGCCTGGAGTATAGTACTAAATCAACCAACAGATTCAAAACACAGATGCAAGCGCCCAATGCCCTTCTACCCTCCCTTGTGGGGAGGGCAATTTCTAATTATTTTGTTCAAAATTCGGATTCCTAGTGTCATGTGAATAGTTATTGAACATATTTGATTTTTAATTGTTTATATTGGGTTATTAAATTTAATAAACAATCGTAAATAATATTTTAAATTTTGTTAATTAATTGAATAAATTATGAAATAATATAATTTATTTACATTATAACGTATATGATGTAAAGGTGTAAACTAAGAGAACGATGAATAAACGTATTTTGAATGTATTTAGTTATTATTTATTTTTATTTGTTTATTAAGTTTAATAAATAATTATAAATGACATTAAATGGAAAAAAACAATTACAAATAATATTTTAAAAGTTATTAATTAAATGAATAAATCATAAATATAATAAAATTTATTTGTATTTAATTCATTTACACATCCCACTTCAAATAATAAAATGGATCAGGCTCATAGCACTTTTTTTTTATTTGAGTAGATGACATTGCATGTTATCAAAATTCTTTTTGGATTAATATGATTAATGATTTTTAAATTATAATGAAATGTTTAATTTGATACTTAAATTTTAAAAATTTTTAATGTGATATTTAAATTATAAATTTATTAATTAATGTGATCTTTACTTTTATATGACAACATATTTTTTCATCTGTAAAACTTTAAAATTACGACATTTAATATAATAAGTTAACCTATTATTTCTTAGGATAAGGCATTGTTTTGTATTCCTATTGGTTAGCTCTATTTATTTAAGCTTACCTATCCTCCCTTTTACAATCTAATTAACAATAATAAATATATTATTAAAATAATAATAACAAGTATATTATTAAAACCTATTTACCCAAACGTTTTATGCTTGGATTACCAAAAAAAATTCCCATTTTCTATAACCCAAAAAGCCTCTCCCTTCCTATATGTTAAAATTAAAGTTGATCTCGAAAAAATACTGGATTTGAAATTTTTTTTCAAAAAGAAGTTTTGCTTGGAGCATAAAACAACAAAATTTAAGAAATCTCTTCAATTTCATCCATGACTAAAACTTCACCATCTATAGATGTTTTTGAATCTTTTCACTTTTACAGCAAAAGCAAATACACTTATTACCTAATTAAATATTTAATTTTTGGTGATAAAAAATAATGTCATGTAGACAATTCATAAAAATAATTATTTGATTAAAATATGACTTGAATTGTTTTTAACAGTTCATTATAATTATTTTTGTTATATGTACCTTACTATTTTTTTTTCATTACAATTAAAAAAATAAAAGATCAAATTGTTGAAACCATAATTTTCTTTTACCATATCAGATTTGCATAACTTGATAAGAGAAATTTTTTTTTTAACATCAAATTACTTTAGTACATTATTGAATATAAACTTATTATTCTATTAAATTATACCAATTTTTGTTTCTTATATTACTTACTTGAATATAATATATATGGTATAAATTTATAAATTACAAATAATTTTTTTAAAGCATGTTTTATTTCATTTTAAATTGTTAACACAATATTATAAAACAATGTCATTAAAAACTCGTAACAACGTACGATATACGATTATAATATATGATAAATAAATTATTTTTTAAATATTATATTAATTAGTAAATTTATAATTTAGATATAATATTAAAAAAAATTTAAAATTTAAATATCCTAAAATTAAAAAAAATTAGGACTATTCATGACATTTTTTTTTTTGTTTTTCTTTCATTTTTCCGCTTTCCCAGATGTCGTACAGATACGGCAGTCCTAATTTGCAATGCATCAGGGACACCGTTTAAGCGATCTTTCTTCTCGTTCCCTAAAACGGTAAAACGGCGTGTGAAACTGAAATTTCTGTCTTTGCCCTGAATCTTTATTTTTACCTCTACACTGAAGTAGGGCAGAATGGGGACGTCGGTTCAGGTAACTCCACTCTGTGGAGTATACAACGAGAATCCGCTGTCCTACTTAGTCTCGATTGATGGCTTCAACTTCTTAATCGATTGTGGCTGGAATGACCTCTTTGACCCCTCCCTTCTTCAACCCCTCTCCAGGTTCTTCTTCTTCTTTAATAATGCCTATTCATTGATCACCATCTAGTCTATAGAGAAAGAGGAAAAAAACCGACTGTGGCTGGTTTTTGCAGGGTAGCTTCGACGATAGACGCGGTTTTGCTGTCGCATTCCGACACGCTTCACCTTGGCGCGCTCCCGTATGCTATGAAACAGTTTGGACTCTCGGCTCCCGTTTATTCCACGGAACCGGTTTACAGATTAGGCCTTCTCACTATGTACGACCAGTATCTCTCTCATAAGGTGAAAGTTATCTTCTTCTCTTTATTTGTTTATTTTCCACGGTTATTGAGTTAGAATTTCGTTTCCAATCCACAATGTTTTAGCCATATTTTGTTGGAAATGGGGGCAATTACTTTGTAAAGTTGATGTTGTGGCCATGAATTTGTTGTGTATGCCATTTACTCCATTATGCCTAAAGTCTGAAGTTAAGCTTCTCTGTTTGTAGTGCTAATTATTTATGTTTTGTAGTTAAAAGGTTTCATGTTGACATGCTATGCTCTATCTCAATTGCAGCAAGTATCAGAGTTCGATTTGTTCACCCTGGATGACATTGATTCTGCTTTCCAGAATGTGACTCGGCTAACCTACTCCCAGAATTATCTTTTATCTGGTAATTTTTCTAGTAAATTTACTAGTAATGATCTCAATTTCTACATTTTTTATTTTGAAACTAAATTAATCTTGAGGTCAATGTTATTTTATGGGTGAAAGCTCAAGGGAATTGAATGTTGATATGACTTAGTATTGGGTGGAGACTGTCTGTTTGGATGGATGCCATTGCCCAACCCCTTAGTTCCCTCTGTTTAAAATGTTACTTGCTTATTGGTTTTTTTTTCCCATTACAATCTTCATAGGAAAAGGTGAGGGTATTGTTATTGCTCCTCATGTTGCTGGACATCTATTGGGTGGTACCGTCTGGAAGATAACAAAGGATGGAGAAGATGTTATATATGCCGTAGACTTTAACCGCCGCAAAGAAAAGTATATAGGCTTCCTTTTATCTGATCCCAAATTGCAGTTCTATTCTATGCATTTTCTTTATATTCTCAGATGAGTGGGTTTTATCAGGCATTTGAATGGAACCGTTTTAGAATCTTTTGTTCGGCCTGCTGTTCTGATAACTGATGCCTACAATGCTTTGAACAATCAACCTCCTAAACAGCAAAGGGAAAGGGACAGAGATTTTGTTGGTAATTTATGTTTTTGGCGTTGAATATTATTAAGTCATAATATAATTCAAAGTTCTTCATCCATCCTATAATTCATTCTTTTCTAATGCACTTCGATGCCTGCACATATGGTCATGCACAAAACTTAATTGAGATACTTTCTGCAGATACCATCTCAAAGACTCTAGAAGCTGGTGGAAATGTGTTACTACCTGTTGATACTGCTGGTCGTGTGTTGGAACTTCTCTTGGTTTTAGAAGAGGTCAGTAGGGATACTTGATTAATAACTAGGTGGATTTTTTTATTAGTCTTTTCGTTAGCTATACTATTGATTGTGAAGTTTGAATCGTGATATAAACAGAACTGGTCGTTCAAGTCTTTGGACTTCCCCATCTTCTTTCTGACATATGTTGCATCAAGCACAATTGATTATGTCAAGAGTTTCCTTGAGTGGATGAGTGATGCCATAGCTAAATCCTTTGAAACTTCACGTGACAATGCTTTTCTTCTGAAGTAAGTAGTCTCTTTTTGTCGAGGTTATTGATACTTGCTAATATTCTGTTATTGTCAATTTTGTACTACTTGTGTTTATTCCTCAGTTTGTATCATTTATATGTGCTTAACAAAATGTAACTGATGTGGATGGGGCTATAAATTAGATGAGAATTATGTACAATGTATTTATGCCAACATTGCAGGCATGTCACACTTTTAATTAGCAAGAATGAACTTGATAAAGCACCAGATGGTCCTAAGGTTAGTTGATTGCGCCACTCTTAAAGGGCAGATTACCATAATCTTTGTCAGCCTAATAATATTTCTTTTTTAGGTTGTGCTAGCATCCATGGCCAGCTTGGAAGCAGGTTTTTCTCATGATATTTTTGTTGAGTGGGCAGCAGATGTCAAGAATCTTGTGCTATTTACTGAAAGGGGCCAGGTGAGTTCGTTAGGACATAGGACTTTAGATTGATTATTTTTGTCAACTTTTCCATGTTTCAACTCATGTAGAGTTTAGATGTTGATAAGCATCTAATTCATGACCAATAGAGGTTTATTTGCTCAAAGACCAAAGGTTTTAAGCTCTTTTTCACATTCAACTTGTGGTATGGAATTATTTTGTGTTTCATGCTTGTCAAGTTCATTTTCTTCTTTGCATCAGGTTTATACAGTAACAATTTGTAAAAATTGTTTACCTAGCATGTAATTACAATTTTGTTTAATCAAATGACTACATTATCTCTTCTGCCACATAATATATACTTACTGACACTTTGATCTGTTTATGTAGTTTGGCACGCTAGCTCGTATGCTACAGGCAGATCCACCTCCAAAAGCTGTTAAAGTCACAATGTCTAGGAGGGTTCCTTTGGTTGGGGAGGAGTTGATTGCTTACGAAGAAGAGCAAAACCGTTTGAAAAAAGAAGAAGCTCTAAAAGCTAGTCTTATCAAAGTGGAAGAATCTAAAGCTTCTCATGTGCCCGATATCAATTCAAGTGATCCAATGGTCATAGACACTAATAATAAGCATCCATCTCTTGAAGGTATTCTTCTTCTATTCCCTGAAAGCTAATCAATGTAACTTTATTCTTAATACTGAGGAGTAATATACATGTTGGGATTTTTGAGCATTCAACCAATTCTTAATGCTTTCACGTTACAGTTTTCATGTGCATTTGAATGGTTATTTCCTCTTCAAAGTAAAAGGAGGATGAGGGGTGAAGTGGTTTGGGGTTTCACAAAAAAGGAGATATTCTTGACCTAATATTAATTGATTCTTGAAGGTCAGAGGGTCTTCTAAATTGCTAAATGCATTTGGATGAATTATGCCTTCATGTCATCGTTGTCTATGTGCATTCCTGCAGTAGAATCAACAAATAAATACATTTCTTTTAATGGTTATGTGATGATGTGATCTTTTTTATTAAAAGCTTGTTTTAATTATAATTACCTTCTCATTGGATGTAGGATTTCCCTACTTTTTTTGTGAATAAACTAGTGATGGGTTTTTGTTTATTTTCATTGATTCTTGATGGTTTACATTTGTTTAAAGAGGAACAAAATCCAATAAGATTTCAGATAATGATGAATTATAATTTCTTTTCATCAATTTGTCTCATTCAAAAGTTTCTCCCCACCCTGATGAGGTAAGTTTGTGTGGGACATTCATGACGCATTGTTGAGAGTTTGATGTATCTTTTACATCATCATGTGTATCCTCAGCTGGTATCTTTTTATCTGCTTTTACTGTACAGGGTTAGGTCAACATGGGAGTGGATACCATGATATTCTGATTGATGGGTTTGTGCCCCCCTCCACTAGTGTTGCGCCAATGTTTCCCTTCTATGAAAATACTTCTGATTGGGACGATTTTGGTGAGGTCATAAATCCTGATGATTATGTAATTAAGGATGAAAATATGCACCAAGCAGCTATGTGCGTAAGTGCCTGCTTCTTTGTGTCATCTGAACTTGATTACTTTAGAATGTTATATCTCTCTTATCTTTCTTCTGTTGATATTTGGGTTATAGATGCTGTTGTCGGTTTGAATAATGAAATTGCTTTATATTTATCTCAGACTGGTGGGGATATGGATGGAAAACTTGATGAAGGCTCTGCTAGTTTGATACTTGACACAACACCTTCAAAAGTCATATCTAACGAGTTGACTGTAAGTTGAATTCTTGCTCAAGTCATAGTATAATCAGTTCTTAGACTTCTCGTCATGAAGTTACTGGCATTTAAGTCTGACTGATGATTCTGTTGGTTTTGTTTGACAGAGTACATGAAAGCACCCAAATTATCATTTGAATTAATTTCATTTACTCTCATTATAGAATAGTTTGAAACCAGGAAAATTGATATACTAGGATCATAGAGAGGATTCATCTTTTCATTTTATCACCTATGGGTCCTTTACGGATCCCTTGGATGCCTTTATACTTTAATATTAGGGTTTGATTTTTATATTTTTTCTTCTCTGTCCACATCTTTTCCTCTTTTAATTGTTATTCTCATTCTTTTCTTCAGGAATACGTGTCCTTTCTCAAAGTCATTTTAGTATCAATTTATATGTCATACTGACATCAACATGAAGGCTACTGCTTTAAGATTGTTGGGTTCTTTTTTTTTTTTTTTTTTGTAATTTTGCTACTTAACTTGAATTTGGTTGAGTTTGTCTGTGAACATTTCAGCAATTCTAAATTGTGATTTCATTATTTCATTGTTTTGAAACCATCAAACCAATCAAGCTGCAATATACTGAATTTTGCCGTTTACTGAACTCTGTTCTTTAATGATGGTCAGGTGCAAGTAAAATCTTCACTTATTTACATGGATTATGAGGGGCGTTCTGATGGTCGGTCTGTCAAATCAATTCTTGCCCATGTGGCTCCATTGAAACTCGTAAGAATATTTCTTGAGGCAACTTCATAGAATTCCTAGTTATATATTTGCCTTATCATCTTTATGAGCTGTCTGTGTAAATGTGGCTTATGTTATTTGAGCAAGCAGTCGGTTTCCTTGCACAGCATGTTATTACTTGCCATGCATTTATGACATTACCATGATTTTATATGTGGATGTGCCATCTTTTCCATGGACGATGAGATGTTAATCCTGTGAGGCAGAGTATGCATTAAAAGAGAATAAAGGCATTGATAACTGTAGAATAATATCAGACAGTTTATCCCTATATTTATCATAGCTCTGTCAACTTAGATATGACTCTTTGTTGGTTAAGCCATATTTAAATGCTACCTCATTTTTCTATCCAGAGCTTTTTTTTTTTTTTTTGGTTGGATCTATTTTATGTGGGTGCCTAATTTGTTGTACTAAAAGAATTATTTTTTCCACTTGCAGGTCTTGGTGCATGGATCAGCTGAGGCAACAGAGCATTTGAAGCAACATTGCTTGAAACATGTTTGTCCTTATGTTTATGCTCCTCAAATTGAAGAAACAATTGATGTCACATCTGATTTATGTGCTTATAAGGTATAATTCAAGAATATGTGTTTACTTAAGGTGAGCTGATCATTTTAGAAATCAGAATTAATTTTGTGACCTTGTGTCTAATATAGGTACAACTATCTGAGAAGCTGATGAGTAATGTGCTTTTTAAAAAGGTAACTAATTGAATTTATCTTATATGTTGATGAACATATTTGAGTTATTCAATCTTTGTCTCTTTGTCTGACATAACTGTAATTTCAGTTAGGAGACTATGAAATAGCTTGGATAGATGCTGAAGTAGGGAAGACAGAAAATGACTTGCTCTCTTTACTACCCATCTCTACCCCAGCTCCACCACATAAATCCGTTGTTGTAGGTGATCTAAAAATGGCAGATTTCAAGCAGTTTCTTGCCAGTAAAGGTGTCAAGGTACTGCTTTTTCGTATGTGTTTAAACATGTTGCAGTGAATAAATGAAACTGATCTTAAACTTCCTATTTAGAGCCCAGATTCTTGAAAATTTTAGCCTTCCCTTGATATCCAAAGGTGTTTCTGTACAGGTAGAATTTGCTGGTGGGGCACTGCGATGTGGTGAATATGTGACGTTACGCAAGGTTGGGTTTGCCAGCCAGAAGGTGAGCAATTTGGCATTTTGATGGTTGTTGTGTGGCAATCTTAGGAGACTAGTATCTTTGGTAATTTTGTATCGGCCATGTGCTTTGGATGGATATACATTTTTTTTTTAATTTCTTTGTCGATTCTATCTTTCTGCAGGGTGGGGGTTCTGGTACTCAGCAAATAGTTATTGAAGGCCCCTTGTGTGAGGATTACTACAAGATACGCGATTATCTGTATTCCCAGTTTTATTTACTTTAAATTGTGCAATGAAATCTGCAAGGGCGGAAGTCATTCTGCAACCCTACTCTGGAAAGAGTTTTCACTTTTCACTCATTACTTTGTTTCTCTGATGTATATTATTGTACAACTTTATTTATACAAGAAAAACATAAGATTTTAGGTTAGTACGTGCCAAATCATCTTACTATTCTTTTTTTTTTTAATCTTGAACTTGTACTTCAATTTTTCGGAAGTGGGGGTATGTTTGAATGTCTTTCAATACTTGCAATTACTAGAGTAGAGGCAGAAAGATACAAATTTCCATTTTTTGAGAGGGGGGGGGTGTTCAAATAGTATAACTTGATTGAGTGCAAATAATTATTTTGTGCATGCTCTGGAAAAAGAAATACTCGTTAATTAATCAGTATTAAAATAATAAAGAATGAAATGGAGCTTGGGTAAATTATATTACTATTTTTTAAAAAAATTTATAACATTCAAGGGGGAAATGTTAATTTTGAGTTGTAAAAAAAGATTTAATTTAAGACTCAATTGCCCAAATTGTTCGGACATGCTCAGACAAAAAATAAGCTTGGACAAAATAAAATCGAACTGGGGCTGCGGAGGAAGACAAATAATAAAAGTTAGGTCCACTCAAATATAAATAAAAAGTTATGAAGGTGTCCGAACCCGTATTTCCGGTGGCCTGTCTTGGGTTTAATATAAACAGTTAGTCAGTTTCCCTTGCGGAAAACGTCATAAATAATTTTGTACATATTAAATAAAAAACAGAGGGACAATCAAATTGAAGCAATCGTCGCGTCATAATCATTACATAGAGAGGGATAGATAAAGAAAGATGACAAAAGAATCCGAGCACTTCCCTTTTTCTCTTCCATACCAAAACAAACAAACAAACAATCAAAACCAACCAATAACCCTAGAAGAAATCACCCTTCAATCTTCTCTCTCATCTCCTGGTTTCAATTCATTTCAATTAAGCATTTTCAGGCGAGGCGGGATTTTTATTATTTTCTGATGGCTTCTACATCTACCTCGTGGTCGCCGAACTCTCCTCAGCTCCGCTTGGCTTTGCGTTGCAGGAATTGCGCGGAATCACGACCGGTTCTTATCGGGGCGCGGACGAGGAAGATCGATTATCACCGTGTTCGTCTGCTCTTTGTTGCACGAAGGAGTAAGGGACTGGAACGGCGTCGTAATGGTGCTTCGTGGATTGTGTCGGACTCCACAGCTGGGTCGGATACTTTTTCCGGATGGTCTGATTCGGATACCGTTGAAGATTCCATTGACTCTAAAAAGAATGAATGGTTTGGAGGTATTAATTTATCATGCTTTGCAGAAACAAAAGTTGTTATTACATTTCTTGGTTGAATTTTGTGCGTCTATTTCGTTTTCAAGAGTCAAGTGGAAGAGAAAAAAGAAAATTTATCTTATATTTTTGTTGGCAAAGGTGATGAAAATTATGTAGTATAACGTGAAACTGGGTATAAATATCAAATTATGCTGTGTTGCGCTTGTTTCTTTGTGGTTTTCTTTGTTTACTCATAATCAGCCGGTAGAAGCTATATGCTTTGGTAGATTTATCCAACCATAATCTCTTCAATTTTCAAGGTTGTGAAAGAAAATTTGGGAAAAGAGTGGAGGTGGGAGTGGGGTGGGGTGTTCTAATCATGCTTAATTGGGTTTAAATTAAAATAGTTGGTTTGCAGTTTTATGAACTAATAACAATTTGTAAGTAGTTTACTTTCAGGAATTTTGGGAGCCATATCAGCTGGACTTGTTCTGGTAGCAGGGCTTTCCTTAGCTGCATTGTCCCTAAGCAATAGAAGCACTTCCAGTAAGGGGTCTCTTTCGATTGCACTAGGTTCTGTTTCATCATTATCTTCGATCTATTTATATGCTGTTACTAATTTGCTTTCTTTGTTTATTAGACTTAATTTAGATGGATTTGACAACCATCTCACGAGCACTGGTGATGAATGATTATACCATTTGTTGACTGCAGGGCCAAAACAGCAGTTGGAACCCTTAACAGCTCAACAGGACGTTTCGTTGGCCTCTGATAATGGGAGTGATAAAGTTGAGAATGAAAGCGAGACAGGTATACAAGAGGATCTTTTGTCACCTTCAGAATTGAATGGCAGTTTGACAGATAATAAACTTGATAATGATAATGGGACCTACTTGGTAGACAGTTACACATCCAATGGTGATAGTGTCACTAACACTGTTCCAGCTCAAGAAGATTTGCAAAATGTTTCAGCTTTGGATGGAATGTCATTTGGCCCGGACATAACTCCAACAACTCCTAAATTGCCTGAATCTGAAGTTGTTGGTGGCTCTTTTGTTGTATCAAGACTTGGACAATTAGATAGCAAACTTGATATAGATTCACCTGAAGCAACTACTGAAATTGAAGACACACTGATTAATGTCAGAGAAACTATTGATACTAACTTGTCTGAACCAGTAAACCTAGATAATGATCTTGATGAGGGAAAGCTTGGATCAGAAGGAAAAGAGAATTCCAATATTTCAGTGGATTCTTCTTCTAGTTCCAATTCTACCAATGAGTCTCTGATTGTGAGCTTCTCAGTTAGTTCAGAGTTAGAACCAATTGTAGAACCTCAGGCTGTACCCAAAGACAATCTGGAAACCATAGAATCATCTACAACTGAAGAAAACCTTGAGAATGGGAAATTGTCGCAGTTCTCAGTTGAAATAAAGAATTCATTTCTGGAAGTGAACAACTTAAATGAGAGTGAGTTATCTGAAACAACCTCTGTGTCAGCACCAGCTTATCCATTAAGAAATGAACAAAGCAAAATTGATTATAATGAGATAAATGATAGCAAACCAGTTTTTGAATCTCCAACTCCTGGGAGTTCCTTCTCCCCTGCTGGTATACCTGCTCCCTCTGTAGTTGCTGCGGCTCTACAGGTGTATCCAGGGAAGGTTTTGGTTCCTGCAGTTGTTGATCAGGTTCAGGGGCAGGCACTTGCAGTCCTTCAAGTTTTGAAGGTATTTCATTCCCGCTGATATGTGGAACAATTATGGTATGAGCCCTGCAGATAATATGAGGACTCGCTACCTATTGCTCATATATTGTATCTTTTCCAGGTTATTGAAGCTGATGCTCAACCTAGTGATCTATGTACACGTCGCGAGTATGCTCGGTGGTTACTGTCTGCAAGCAGTTCCCTTTCAAGGTATAGGTGCCTTTCTTATTACTCCTAGTTATGGCAGCATGTGCGCGTTGGGAAATTAGCATCTAACTAGCAATATAAAATAGGGAATTTTATACTTCCAAATTGTTATAGGAAATTTTGTTTATATAAAATAGCAATATAAAATAGAAAATTTTGTTTCCTGCAGGAATACAATGTCAAAAGTTTATCCTGCAATGTATATTGAGAATGTTACTGAACTTGCATTTGATGATATCACACCTGAAGACCCTGATTTTTCATCCATTCAAGGTTAGAAGAGGATTTCATGTTCTTGGCCATAATATTGGTAGAGTAACTTTCCTTTTTTGTTATAATCATTGGTGCCAATGGAGTTGGATATTTCAGGCTTGGCAGAGGCTGGACTTATCTCAAGCAAGCTTTCAAATCAAGATCTGCTTAACGATGATCTAGTCTCATTTTACTTCTTTCCTGAAAGGTTATTACTGTTCACATATTGAACTTGCAATATAAGTCATCCTATTTAGCTTGGTTATTGTTATCTCCAATACAAATGTTCCTGTTATTTTATTGCCCTAAACATCTGTAGGGCCTTTTTTTTCTATATCAAAGAATGATTCTCCATTATTTTACCAAAGTTGTGGTTACCCGCTTTCATTTTAGTTTATTTGTAAAATGTTCATAGAACATGCGCGTTGCCTGATATAACTCTCTGACTTACCCTGAATAAAATCTAAAATAATAAATGGAAATCGCATTGCATTTTTACTTTTACAATAACAATTGCTTTATTTTTGGATACAAGGGTGCTTTACTTTTGTGGCTTTATGATGGGCTTCTCATTTTCTCATTTTTTTTTATCATCATTTTTTATGCTCCAGGCCCTCTATCACGCCAGGATCTTGTTAGTTGGAAAATGGCCTTAGAGAAAAGACAACTCCCAGAAGCTGACCAAAGGGTTGCCTATGTTTGAGTTTGTTTATTTGTTCATCTCATCTTCTTTGTTGTGTGTTGTAGTGAATATATTTGGTATTAATTTTAGCTTTGTGGTCATGTAGATACTCTACCAACTTTCTGGTTTTATGGACATTGATAAGATAAATCCAGGTGTATGGCCTGCGCTTGTGGCTGACTTGTCTGCTGGAGAACAAGGAATAATAACACTTGCTTTTGGTTAGTCATCTTTAATTTTAATTTCTTTCTCAAAGTTTCATCTTGATTTTGATGATTGATATGCCTTTGTTGTTATTATTGTCCGTACAGGTTATACGAGAATGTTTCAGCCAAATAAGCCTGTGACAAAAGCTCAAGTTGCTGTTGCTCTTGCAACTGGTGAAGCATCTGACCTAGTAAGTGAGGAGCTTGCACGTATTGAAGCAGAATCTATGGCAGAAAATGCAGTATCTGCTCATAATGCTTTGGTAGCTCAAGTTGAGAAAGATGTTAATGCTAGTTTTGAGAAAGAGCTTTTGATTGAAAGGGAAAAGATCAATGCTGTGGAAAAAATGGCTGAAGAGGCAAAGCGTGAACTGGAAAGGTTAAGAGCTGAGAGAGAGGAAGAGAATATTGCCTTACTGAAGGATCGTGCTGCTGTTGATTCAGAAAAAGAAGTTCTTTCAAGATTAAGGCGTGAAGTGGAGGAGCAGTTGGAAAGCCTGATAAGTAACAAGGTAGAGATATCATATGAGAAGGAAAGGATTGCCAAACTACAAAAAGAAACAGAGGATGAAAGCCAAGAGATTGTCAGGTTACAGCATGAACTGGAGGTGGAGAGAAAAGCCTTATCCATGGCCAGGTAAGGAAAGAAACTTTATTATTAAGTGGTTTTAAATTGATATTGCAACAACTTGACAGGGAGGAATGACACGAGGTTTTTCAAATATGTATCTATATTAGATGCTTTATTTGCAGAATAATATTGAATGATACAGATTGTGAGATGGCATATGTTTGTTCTCTTAGATCTTTGTAGCTAAACTAATTGTAAGAAAGATACTTTGGCCAATGCTCATTTCACAAGAATTTGCTTTTATGAGATTTAAACGGATTCTTGCCCATCTGCTTAATCAATAAATGTCACATGTTTTCCTAGGCAGAACCGGTGAACAATGCATCAGACATGATGTTCAATGTGTATTGACTTGTACTTTTTGTTTAAATAGCAAAATTCTTTTTCTTCAAAATCTGTGTTAAAACTGCTGAAGTTTTACCCTCTGCTAACTGCTAGACCAATATATTAGGTAAAGTTACCTTGTTGAGGAAGACAACCTGGTTTGATTTTTATTATGACTTCTCAATGGCGATCGAATTAATATTTTAATAATTCAGGGCTTGGGCTGAGGATGAGGCAAAAAGAGCAAAAGAACAGGCAAAAGCCCTGGAGGAGGCTAGATGTGACTGGGAGAGGCATGGCATCAAAGTGGTTGTTGACAATGACCTCCGTGAAGAGAGTGTTGCAGGAGTTACGTGGGTAAATGCAGGGAAGCAAGTTGCTGTTGAAGGAAGTATTAGCAGGGGCGAAACTTTGGTGGGCAAGCTCAAGGTATTGGCAAGTGAAGTAGAAGGGAAATCTAGAGAGTTCATCAATAAGATTGTCCTGAGGATTCAGTATTTGATTACGCTGTTGAAGGAGTGGGCCTCCAAGGCAGGAGCAAAGGCGGAAGAAGTGAAAGACATGACTTTGTTGAAGGCAAGGGGATCAGTACAAGAGTTGCAGCAAAGCACGGCAGGATTTAGTTCGGCCCTTAAGGAAGGTGCAAAACGGGTGGCAGCAGATTGTCGGGAAGGAGTTGAGAAACTCACTCAAAGGTTCAGAACATAGCCATAGCCGTCCCCCATGATTATGTTTTTGTCGTGAACACCAATAAATAAATTTTGCAGCTGAGAATAGGGATTTCAATTTTACCATAAACTCGATTTTTTATCTGAATAGTGATTGAGATAAACATTACATTGTGAATATGAGTACGAAAATGAATATGAGTTTAAATTTTTATTAGGTATAAAAATAATAATTGGATAATATAACATCTCTCTCGTAATTTGACAGCATTTAATAAATGACTTTTTTATTTAATAATATAAATTATTATTTAGATTAATAAATTAATAAATTTTTATTAAAAAACATATGTTCATAAATATATATTTATAAAAAAAATCTAAATATATAAAATAAAAATAAAAAACTTTAAAAAACATTTGTTTTATTTTTTTTAATTATTAAGTACTTTTTATGCTAATTAAACATTCACAAAAATAAAAATAAAAATTAATTTAAAATAACTATTGAACATGAATTAAAAAAATAAATATAATATAAAAATTTGAAGATAGGAATGAAAAATGCTCTCTTTTCATATCCTACTCATAGATAGAACTACGTAATTCATCTCCTCCCTGGTCAATTATTCACAGCGGAAAGAACGTAGTATCAAATTCAATGATGGATGTAAAAGAAAGAGTACTAATAAATTATAACTGGAACCATTTCGCATTTCATTGATTTTTTAACGAAAATTTAACTTGAAAATTTCTTAGTAAAGATAACATTAAATTTCAACAAACACAAACTTTCCAATTTCTCAGCTCTAATTCAAATAAAACAAGTTCCAGTGCATAGTTTTCAGCAAAACATTATGCTAAACAAATTTCTCTAACAGCTCCTAAATGAGAGACAGTCGAACATGTCAACAGCGAGAGCAAGTCAAGAAAATAAGCTTCACTTCTTCTTTTCTCCACCTCCAGTGTGGGCCCTGCAAGGAACATGATACCCAGGAAAAGACTTACTACCATTTTCAGATTGCAAATGTCCCCTCAAAACATAAGACAAGAAATACTTTGCTTGTCCTAAGATATAAGTAATTACCTCATCTTGCGGAGAACACTAGACATCTCCTCACGCTTCTTCTTTGCCCTTTTGTGAGTTCCCAACTTTCTTTTAGCTACCTTGAGTGCTCGCTTGTCCTTACCAACTTTCAGAAGCTCAGTGATCCTCTTCTCATATGGTGCAAAACCAGCAACTTCCCTGATCAAGCTCCTCACAAAATGGACTCTTTTGCTTGTTTTCTGAATAAAATGGAGAAATCAGACTGTGACTTCAAGCAAGAAAACACCAACTATATAACAGGATGTAATTTGCTAAAAGTTCTGGCTAAAACAAGGCCTTTCTCGAAATATAAATTCAAAGAATAACACCACGTTTAATATGACAATTTATATGCAGTTTTCCCTCTCTCCTTCAATACAAGACTATTACTTATGATCAATTACTATTATTCTACATAGAATCTATTCGGTATAGAATCTACTTACTCCTTTTCGATTAGAGGGACGTGGAGCCAACTCCTTTTTGGTTACAATGTGGCCCTTGTTCAGTCCTACATAGAGGCCAGTGTTTGGCTGCTTGGTAGTCATGCCTGTTTAACGCCAAATCACATCCATAAATAAAATGAAAAACACTACATTCAATCAGAATTTTAATAATCTCTTAAATCCAAATCACCAATCCCATTTATTTGAACTCCTGTTTTAAACAGGAGTTGACAAAACATAAATGATTTTCTACTTAGGACTCAAACCCTTAAAATTTGCTTCTTTCCTTCATAAACCTCTCAAATTTCACAAAATATATTAGCATCAACAGTTAACCAAAACAAAACAAAAAAAGAAAAAAAAAAGGTGAATAGAATACTCAAAATATCTCGAGAAGAAGTTCGCTAATTATGTAACATACTAACATTTTTACTTCGAGTGGAATGAAAATTGGCCTTTACAACGTAACACAAACTTTTAAAATATACTTTTTTTTAAAATGAACGTCCAATGCATATCCAATCACAAATACACAGAATAACGAAGCAAAAATCAAAGCTTGTGACAGAAATAAACTCTAGACAGCCAATATCATATTGGCTAAGAAACCCATCAATCAAAGCACAGAAGTTAACAAACACAAGTTAAATCTCCTGCCGTTGATAAAACCAGCTATAGCTTCTCAATAGTTGCGCTTACTCTTTCATATTTCTATGAAACCTAACCAATCTGACACAAAAGTTTGGAGTTTTAAGCATAGCACTGCGAACCCTAAGCAATAATAAAGCACTGAAAGGGCATAGAGAGATCGAGAGAGTAGAGTACCTGTTTAGACGGAGATCTGAGGCGGAGTAAAATGAGGGAATTAGGGTTCCGAGTTTGATATTGATTTTATAGGCAACCATCATTATATGACCCGCACCCGATAAGCCGGTCCAGAAAGCCCAATGTCTGCTCCAATTTTAGCCCATTCACCCCAAAACCATTTTAGGATATGAGTTTTTGATGTTTGGGCCTGATCTACTTAAGCCGAAACATTTTGGTGAATGAGTTATTGCTTCCACTCATTGTTCCAGAAAGGTATGTATCAAGAGAAAGTTCAAGAATTTGTTATTGTTTGATTAGATTATTATTTGATGGATTATCGATTTAGTTTTAAAATTTTATAAATGAAATTAAAATATTATCATTTATTTTTAAAATATAAATAATCTTTTTAATCTTGCCGTGTATTAAATAATTTTATATATATTAGAACAAATTATTAATTTAGTGAGTCCATGTTTAGTATCATAATATTTAATTTATTGACATGTGTATATATTTAATGATTTTTATTTTTTAAATAAAGAAATATTCATGAAAAATAATTCATGTATTGCTTTTATATCATTTTATGAAGGTGGGACCATTTGATTAGACTATATATGAGATAGGATAACGAAACTAACATATTATATTTTCACCAACCAAATAACTAAAAATATAAAAATATATATTTTTAACTAACAACTAACCAAAAAAAAAAAAAACAATTATAGGTAAAGTCTAGGAAGAAGAAAAAATTATTATTAAAGGTATTAAATTAAAATAAAATTTTAAATTATTTGATAATTATGAAGTTAATATATATTTAAAAATTATTAAAATTATTTTTATTTCAAATAATAATTTTTTAATAAATATTTAAAAATTAATAAAATTGGTAGTAATATATAAAAATTAATTTTTTAAAATATTAATATATTTACATAAATTGATAATAATTTAGAAGATGATAATTTTTATATTAAAATAATTATTATTTTTATTCAAAATAAAATTAAAAAAATGAAAGTGGCAAGTCTAAACTCTATTATTTCAATGGCAAAAAATGAAAAAAAAAAATTACAACATGAACTTTCTTAGAAAAAAAGGTTGCGGTAAAAATGAAAAATTCTACCGAATTCCTTTACCTCCATTAGGATTGTTTTACCCACGCTGTAAAAATTTTTATGTAATAGCACAATAGCAAGGCATCCAAGTGGCTTGTCAAGCTACGATTGCACGTAAATTGAGGGTAACCTCATCGTAATCGAGGTTCAGTGAGATTCAAATGTGGCTTATTAATAATGATAATAGTAATAAAATATTAAAAATTTTATATTCAATTATAATTTTTAAATATTTTATAATTGTTTTGTATGATTTTTTTAAAACGTAATATAATAATTTTGTTATCAATACTTTCAAACACACTCTTTTAAGATAAGTTATTAAATTATCATTCAACTATTGAATTTTTATTAAATTATGTAAATAAATATTTATTATTGAAAATACTTTTTCAATTGTAACAATAACAATTTATAAAATTAATATTAATTTTAATAATAAATTAATTAATTAGTAATTTTTTTATTTATCTAAAACACATAATTCAAAATTTTTTTCCTCTCAGTTGACCTAAAGTTAAATCTCTTTTTATATTTTCATTATTTTAGATTTATAAACCCAAAATTAAGATATGTCACATATTTTAATGACGATTTATATTAAATTTATAAATCACTTATAAAAAATTATTAATAATAAAAATGAAATTCAAACATTATAATAAAATATTTAATTTTTATGAATTCAATCAATTCAATAGCATTATTGCGCACATTTTCTACATTTATTATATTACTCCATGGAAACATCATGGAAGATTTTCTCCGTTTATAACATATATTTCGCTGTTAAAATAATTCTGTTCAGTTTGACAACCAACTTCCTTTTTTATTATATCAAGCGAAGTCCGTGGACGTTGTTCATGTTTGTTTTATTATTATTATTATTTATTTCTATTGATTGGGTGAAAATGTTTTGAATGTCCTTTTAGTAAGCTATAAAGTGTAAACGGTCCAAAGTCCAGATGGATGAATGATTAGAAAGCGGACAAAAATGAATTATTTGTAAAAAGACCATATGCCACTTAAATTCTCAACTTATTTACACATTAACCACCTTTGACTGCCAGTTAAAAGCAGACAAATGACGAGCGTTCGCTTCGCTTATGTCATGTCGTCCTTCTACTTCTGCACCAAACTCTAACTGGACTTTGACTAGTTGGCACCAAGCCCTCTAAATTTTGGTCCTTGTCTAATTCCGATGTCTGTTGCCTGTGACAGCCTGTCAATTTGAATCCTTATAATGTAACTCCGAATTAACCCAGTCTCAGAACAACAAAGTATCCCTCATCCATGTTCTTAATCATTAAGTCTTCTTTTTGCTCTAAATTTTTGTCCTTTTTTTTATTGATCAGAAAGAAATCTGGTACCTTGGGTCTTTCTTATTTTCTCTTTTATCTCTAGGCTGCTCCTTTGTTTTGTTATTTTAGTGATAAAATTGTGATCACTCAGCAGCTTATGACATTGAAACCCTAATGGTAGAAGGACCCAGATCGGTTTCTTGATACAGCTATCAATTCTTTCTGTAGCCATCATTTCCTGTCTCTGGTGAGTACTGTGTTTTGACCCTTCAAATGGTGTGGAAGCATACTTCTCAGTGATGCTCATATTCTTGTTGTTCCAACAATACCAGTATATTGACTTTGCTCCTGTTTTGTCTGCTTTGGAATCCGTTCTTGATATTTCTTTTGGTAGGTTCAGTTGATTGTGCATCCTAGGGGAGCAGTTGAGATCATCTTCTTGAGTCCTATTCATCATCTCCTACTCTTCGGTTCAAATTCTTCTACTTATAATCATTTTTTTGCACTTTCTATGGAGTTTTGTAGCGTTGGTTTACGTATTGTCTTTCAATCCATTTACTGAATTGGAATACTCGTTCAAGTACTTTTTTCGTAGTTGAAATCTATAATAAAACCTCAACAAGTTATATTTCCTTCTCTTCTAATTGCATAGTTTGAATTCTCCAATTTCTATGCTCACTTCTGCTTGAATTGATGTGAATTTTGGTATCTCATCCAATTCTCAAATCATTAATCAAGTTCCATATTCTAAGTTCCTGTCTGGTATTTCCTAAATCAGGGCACCATTTTTCTTGTTTCTACGCCATTTGCATGCAAAATCCATGTTTTATGATCTACATTGTCATACTTAGAGGGTAGGCATCAATGTCAATTATATGTGGCCTTCCACTCCTTGAATGTGTTTACTGTCTGGCATGTGCACGCTGGGCATGGAAAAGATGCCTCCATACTGCTGGCCATGACAGTGAAACATGGGGCCATGCAACTGCTGAAGAATTTGAGCCTGTCCCACGACTATGCCGCTATATTCTAGCTGTTTATGAAGACGATCTTCGGCACCCACTCTGGGAACCCCCTGGAGGCTATGGGATCAATCCAGATTGGTTGATTCTCAGGAAAACTTATGAAGGCACTCAAGGACGGGCTCCTTCATATATATTATATCTTGATCATGATCATGCTGATATAGTCCTTGCCATTAGAGGTCTTAATTTGGCAAAAGAGAGTGATTACCAAGTGCTTTTGGATAATAAGCTGGGGAAAAAGAAATTTGATGGTGGTTATGTTCATAATGGACTCTTGAAGGCTGCTGGATGGGTTTTGGATGCAGAGTGTGAAGTGTTGAAGGAACTGGTGGAGAAGTATCCAAATTATACTTTGACGTTTGCAGGACATTCTCTTGGGTCAGGTGTAGCAGCCATGTTGGCGTTGGTGATTGTACGGCATCAGGATAAACTGGGAAACATTGACAGGAGGAGAATCAGGTGCTATGCTATTGCACCTGCAAGGTGCATGTCGCTGAATTTAGCAGTCAGATATGCAGATGTCATCAATTCTGTGGTTCTTCAGGCAAGTTGATTTTTTTTTTCTTTTTCATTTAATGTTTGGGTTTATTGTTTGTTAGAAATGATACTATCAGTTGGTCTACTATAAACATCATGATATTAATGGCATCTGCAGAAGTCCCATGCAATGGAATTGTAATTGTTCATTGCAATACTTGTTGTATTAAATCGTGCTGTACTACATGTTGTTTAACTAAGAAATACGGGATATGAGCCATGTGATGTCTTTGTTCTGAGTAAGATAAAAGGAGTTCTTAGAGAGCAAAGGTATGAATGGTCGCTGGAGCCCGTCGATTAGTTCTTTGACACAATGTGCTCAATTTATTACTTCTAATAATTACCGCTTATTCATTCACTTGAAAGTTTATGTCCAATTGTCAAAGCTTGGAGGGTGGGGAAGGTTCATGCTTGTACAAGACATGTTTATGATAACGTGGGAATTCTGGCAAATGGACTTCCGAGGTTGGTCGTTAAGTTCAGTTCTAATTTCAAATGAAGAAGAATGGTTATAAATGCACCTCAAGATGCATGTTTTCTGATGAAAAGGAACTAACTTATGAAATAAGAAGCATCTGACAGAGGAATGAGGAATCAGCTTTCTGCAGAATCTCCCATGTGAAGGTGAAATTTTTTTAGGAAGTGACTCCAAGATCACATTATCATCATAGTGAAATCTTATCTGTCAGTAGAACCTACTGTAGCTGGCACTCCTCTTGTCCTTGAAGGATAGGTGCTTAACATGTACCTTCAAGAGCAAAGTTCAAGAGCTGGTAAGGAAAGGGAACCAAAAAATAATAAGTATAAGTTCGAGTAGTCCAATGGATATCTAAACTCTAAAGTACATTTTTAGGTGTGACAGTGTCTAATACTGTGGCATAGACAGCAAAAGGAATTGTGTTATGCTTTTTAGTGAGATATGTCTGACATGAATACAAGTAGCTTTGCAAAGCTTAAAATGTATGTTCTTTCTTCATAGCAGAAGATCTTATCTCATTTACACTGATATTGGCACCAAATGTTGAAAGCATCTGGTTGGGATGATATTTAGTTGGTGATATTATATCTGTGAATGATAGTAATTGATGTCTGACAAGCAGTTGCAACTATTGTCTTGATTTTTATTAATTTTACATCTTCAATCTATCAGTTATTATATTATTATCATTATTTTTGTGTGTTTAATTGTGGTTAATGCTGAATTAGGATGACTTCTTGCCACGAACAGCCACGCCTTTGGAAGACATTTTCAAGTCACTTTTCTGGTATAGTTGTTGGACTTTATCACCCATTTTAATTATAGTTCTGTTTACATTTGACTCTAGTTTCTCCCCATAAACAATATTTATTGACACATGAAAAACAAAAAACAAAAAAAAAAAAAAGGAAAAGGAAAAGGAGAAAGAGAGAGTTCTAGCTCCACTGTTCTTGCAAATCAAAGTATCCTTACTTTGGCGGTTATCTTTTATCTATTGAGAAATTTTGGCTTTCTCCATTTAAACAGTTTGCCATGCCTACTATGCCTGAGATGCATGAGGGACACTTGTATACCAGAGGAGAAGATGCTTAAAGATCCAAGGAGGCTGTATGCACCTGGTCGCCTCTATCACATTGTGGAGCGAAGACCTTTCAGGTATAATGAAGCATAAAAATAGTAATTCTCTCCTATTTATTTGCTTAGTGCTTAATGATTTTAGTTATTTTTTACTTAACTAAGGTGGTGTCGATGTTGAGAATGCCTTGCAAGGCTGGAACTCAGTACAGATTTGTATGTTGGGCAGGTTTATAATAACCATTGCAGTTAGTGTTGTGGTCATTATCTAGCATATAGAAATACTGACAGGCGTCTATCTTATGCATTTATCTCATATCTAAGACATTCTTAAATTAAAAATGAATAACCCAGGAGTGCTTTATGATAAAAAGATTCATCACAATGCAAAAAGAAAATTTGACCTCTTGATGGGCACTTCATTTTACATCACTCTTGCAGATTAGGAAGATATCCCCCAGTTGTGAGGACAGCAGTGCCGGTGGATGGGAGGTTCGAGCATATCGTTCTTTCTTGTAATGCCACCTCAGACCATGCTATAATATGGATAGAAAGAGAAGCACAGAGAGCTATGGATGTAAGTTTAAAGCTGCTTTATTTTCATGGCAGTGGTTTAATAAAATGGAGCAACAGCCAATTGATGAAATAAATGCATACACTTTATGTGATTCTCTCTCTTTTGGTTGGTTTCCTATGCAATTTGTTCTCCAAAGTACTTTTTGAAATTAAACCTCACCATCTTTGTCTCTTAATTTTGCTTTAGTTAATGTTGGAGAAAGATGGAATAATGGAGATCCCAGCACAGCAGAGAATGGAACGGCAGGAGACTTTGGCTAGAGAACACAGGGAAGAGCACAAGGCTGCACTCCAAAGGGCTGTTTCATTGTCAGTGCCCCATGCTTTTTCACCTTTCCAATATGGAACTTTTGATGAGTCCCATGATGGGGAGAACTCCCATAAATCTAGTGGCGAGTCGTCTGTTGGATCATCAGGGAAAAGCAAGAACAAAGAAAGCTGGAATGAATTGATCGAACTTCTTTTTGACAAAGATGAATCTGGGCACATCGTGCTCAAGAAATCACATAGGGATGATTGACAATGTAAATTAAGAGAATAAATGGATAGAAGAAGTTTATGCTTGCGATGAACAACATTCATTGATTCATTTGTACTCGGTTTCCATCCCATAATAATCACGGGCAGTTGTGGAAACGCCGAGAGCTAAACACGTCATTTGGAAAATGAGCCTAGACGGGGATATATAAATAAATAAATAAAATATATATATATATATATATATATATATAACCCTTTGAATTTGAGTTGAGTTTCAACTTCCTGTCGGTCTCTAACAATCGCTGTTGCATCCATTCATGGCTTTCCTTCGGTCAGTTCTTCTTTCTTCTGCTTTTTACCTGTTCGTTCTCCAACTTCTCTGCCGAAAGGTAAAGGAAACCCCGTCTCATTTTTTTAAGCTATACTTGTATATTTTGGAAATGAGCAGTGGAAATTTATCCGTACTAAAATGTTTGTCTTAATTTTGAATGAATGAGACAATCAATCCATTTCCTGTACGGGATTGATGAATTAAATGGTGTTCTTCATCTGGGTTTTTGTTAAAATCTCGTATGGTCATGCATACGCTGACGTTTATCCTGGATAATTTTTTTTTTAATAAATTTTGTGGATATCACTATTTTAGTTGATACTTGATAGTAAGTACCCTTTCGTTGAATGATTATCAATTAGAAAAAAAAAAAAAGGGACAAATTTGTGTCTCATGAGTTTATTGGCTGGCTGGCTTTTGGTTATCTTTTATATTCTGAGTAGTTGCTTACTATCTTTTAATATATTCTTTTACAGCTTATATTTGAAGGAAATTGTGCTTTCAGCAAAGCAGGTATCTTTCTTTTTATTTCAATATATTATATATGTTCTGTCGCAGCTTTAGATATTTATCGTTAAGTTGCAAAGCTTGTTTTATGTTGTTGTTTCCCGTCCAAATTTTGGTTTGGAATTTAACTCCTGCGGCACCTTGAATTTATAATTGGTTGTTTCATTTCATCTTCGGATCAAAGGATTGATGAGAAAGGAAATTGGCTAATGGAATTTCAGTTTTTTTTTTTTAATTAAAAAATAAAACCCACAAATAACTAAAGAAATAGAAAGGAAATTGAAAATTAAGGAAAAATTCAACCCCAGCACTGGATCATTGATTAGATGGGGAAAACAAAAAGAATTGACGTAAAATCAGTTGACTTGAAGAGAAGAGTATGGTATATGGTATATTTACATCACATGGTATGATGAAGCAAGGCCTGCATTTCTGGTAGCATGCGTTTTACATTCTGAACCCTATTATTTGTGTTGTTAGTGAAATTCATTTTCAGGGCACGCCATGGCCAACATATGTGCCTCACCTTATGTCGACTCCTGTCTCTGCTCTCTGCTTCTTCTAATTGTTTCGTTAACTCTTCAATCCGCTCGCGAAGTCCTGCAGCTCTGCTGTCAGCTAGCTGCAGAGACCTTTCTGCGGCTGCCTGGGCAGCCATAGCAGCTGCTGCTAGATCTTCTTTCAACTTTAACTTGCCATTGGATATTTCCAGGGCTGCCTTTGTTTTCTCCAACTCTTGCTTCAAAATGACAACCTAATGACACCAGCAAATAGCGTTAGGATTTCAGACTTCTCTTATACTAAAATATGTTCTTTCATAATCATCAGGGCACAACTTAAATCAGATTTTTGGATCTAAGTATGTAGATACCACAGCCATCTAAAATCTCTAGGCTTTAGTAGAGGAATGCAATGTCATGACAACCATGGAGATGTAACATTATATGGAACATTCTACCTAGTCAAGTAATCTGAAATTTATCTCAATTGATTCTCATTAAATGTGATTCGATTTAACGAATATATCAAATATACCAATTAGTAAAGATCATCATTCATTCTCAGAGCACACAAGCTTGATGGTTAAGAGCATGAGAGTAGCTCAA